TTCATTTATATGATTTTAATTTTTTTTGGAATGGGAAACATTGAAATCGAGGAAATAATTTTTGTGTGATGTCATGCAAAATTTCTCAATTCCATACGTTTGAAGAACTAAAAGCTGGCTGAACAAAAAACGATCAAACAAAATCAACTGGACATACATATAAGTATAAGAAGTATATGAAAACATGAACAACAGAAAGTGTACGAACGAAATGTTATTAAAACTTTTAGCAGCTCGCTATATATATGTACTATATATATTTACTGTATGTATATATATATATATTTATATTAACTGTCAACTATTGTAGTTTAGTTCTCAGCTTCATTATCGTATTGTATATTTTACTACAATTTCTTTGTTTTACGGTTTTGTTTCTTTCTTTGTTGTTTGTTATTATTTTTAATTCACGCCTCCACATTGTTTGGTACCTAATTTTTGACTCCAAAAATTTTACTAAACTGGGTTAGGTTGCCATATAAATTATTATTTGTAATAATATATATATATATATTTTTTTTTTTGTATTTTTTTGTATTTTTTTTTCTGTTTCCGTTACAACTAAATGTCGCACTGCATGCATCCGTTACATGCGGAGACTTATGCGCTATGCTGTGCGCGCTTTTCAAACTCAAATTGGATCGCCAGTGTAGACGCAGCCCCATTGGGGCACCACTCATGCTGCAGCCATGTGGGTGGGCGCTGGCAATACGTACGAGTAGATGCCAGCGCCGGCCGCTGGTATATGATGATAGTGGTGTGGTGGTGGTTGCTGTGGTGGCTGCGTGGGGGTATTGGCGCTGCCGGGTCAGGTCGCTGTCGGCGTCATCAAGAACTGCTGCTGATGATGGTGGTGGTGATGGTGATGCAACTGGTGGTGCGGCTGGTGGTTGTGATGAAAGTGTGGCTGTTGATGTGCCACAGCTGCTGCCGCCGCTGCTGCTGCCGCTGCATGATGATGCGGCTGCTGTTGTTGGTGGTGCGCCTGCTGCTGCTGTTGTTGTTGTTGCTGCTGCTGCAGCTGTTGCATTTCACGTTCTAGTTTCTTAGTGAGTAAATCATGCCTTGATTCCATACCCGCTCCTCTGCAAGATAATCAAAACATTATATATATTAATCCCACTCTCAATCAAGTACTTTCAATGACATTGTGAAGCGATGCATCTAAGTTGGTGTCTAGATCGGGCGGTGCGTGTGGTGCAATCATTGTTAGTGGATGAACGGGCAGAAGGGAATTGGTAAAAGATACTATTATTTTATAAAAAATTGTCATTGTTGTTGAAGCTATGTATGCTCACTGAAAAAACAAATATTAATTATTTTTCTTTAATTAAGAGAATTACATAATCCATAAAATCACACCCAATTTAATCAAATAGCAAGAAGAGTGTTCAAGAATATAATAAATTTAATTTGAAAGCATTTTTATAAATTAAATTCTACAAAAATAACTACGCTTTAAAAAATAACTTCAGACTTAAAATTAAATTAAATCTTTCAGAAATCATTATTGGTCAGAGCTCAAATGCTTAAAATGGTATTAAACTATTACCATTAGCTCTTGTTCATTTCCCACTCAAAATATATATACATTGTATTTTATTTAATGGAGCAATTTAAACATTTTTCACTTGAGAATCTTTTGAATAAGTTTCTTTTTATAGATTATCGGGTTGGTATTAATAACTATTAATTCGTGCATTTAAACAATTCAAAATGGTTTCACTTTTTAAACTAAATATATTGTATAGTTTCAATATAAAAGAATTATTTAAAATGATAAAAGAGCTGAAATATTTTACTAGAATCATCAATCTTTTTCTGAGGAAATTTTGCAAAATTGTCAGCATATAACTAGGTTGGAGTGCCTGTATTTTATATATACATATACATAATACTCTATATATACATGTAAACAAATTATATACATATGTGTGCGGCCTGTTGCGTATCCTTCCAAGTGCGGCAAACATTGGTTTGCCTTACTCAGTCATTTTATGGCCGGCGTGGCATAAAAATCAAGCTTAATGTAAACAGCATGCAAAACTTTGGTACAACAAACTGACACATACTCGTATGATACACACACACTCTTACACATACACACCCCACACACACACACACACTCAATTACACTGTCCCGTTCAAACGCTCACATTTATTTCATTCGCATTACTGCCTAGACCCTCATGTCGAGCTACCATTAAATACAAGTGTAAAACTTGTGCCTGCGGCTTGTTGGTTTATTCTTTTTACGAGCGATTTTCATTATTGCCTTCCCCTCCCTCCTCTCCGTTGCTGTGCATGCTGTAAGCAATTTAAATTGATTTCCAACGAGTGAACGAGCAAACAACAACAATAACTATATAAAAACTACCCAACAGCAGGCGTAATAAAAAAAAAGTTAAGAGAATTTTCATTTACAGCAGCAGCGTGAAAATTGTTCACCGTCTAGCGGGTCGCCTGATGGCAAACTATTTGTCCGTCGACCGTTATTACGAACTGGCCCAACGGTGTTTCGAACTAGTACGTAGCACTAAGGAATGTTTCTGCTCTTCCCAGGAGAACATTAACTAGCTGCTAGCTGAACTAGTTGCTTAAAAAGAAATCCCAATTGAAAAGGATTTAAACCATATGCCAACGTTAAGTTTCCGGATTTAAAAAAAAAAAAACAGCTTTAGGTAAGGTATCCATTTGTTAGTAAAATTCTTGGTCTTCTTCTTTTCAAAATGTGACAGGAAAAGAGGTGAATGGAAAATTTTGAACAATGTTTAATTAAAAATTGGACATGAACTACTTTGGAAAGAAAACCAAAAACTGTACTATAAACTAAACATAAAGGTCTGGTGAAAGATTAGCGAAATAAGAAGGTAATACATTTTGGCAAACACTACGTTTTTAGTACAAATTATTTGCGAGTCGAGGCAAAACACTACTCTCACAGCAAACTAGTGACTCAACTTTAAAGATAAATGAAACCGCTTTGAGCTATAGAACGGGTATGCATGTGTGCATTGGAGGTGGATGTGGCAGGCGTGTGAGTTACTTTTTTGATCAGGTCTTGCTTCCCTGAATGCGGCTGCCTTTTCTTGAGAAATTGAAAAATAAATTTGTTTCTTTATTTTCTATACTATTTGTGAAACGTGCGCAGAAACACACCTAAAAACTCACGCACGCACGCTCACATACTTAACAGCGATGAAAAATTGTAACGGAAGCGGCAGTGGGTGCCGTGCCCCCATTTGTGGCAAGCGGAAGCTTCCATTTAACTAACGGATGTCTGCGCCCAGAGACTTGGAGCTTAGTTGAAGTCGCCGCATAAGTATATACGAGTACGTATATATGTGTGTGTGTATATGTGGGTGTGGGTGTGGGTGTAAGGCACGCATTGCCCCATAAAGTCAAGTGTTGTAAAGCCGCTATAACTTGCTGTTGTTGCTACTGCTGTTGATTTTGTTGTTGCTGTTGTTGTTGTTGTGGTTGCAGGTTGGGCTTAGCATCGCTAAACTTTTGTTTGTTATAATTTGTATTTAAATGTTGCCTTCCCCAACGCCATAGCTGTTGTTGTTGCTGTTACTCTGTTGAGGCATGCAGAATGTTGCGAAGGGTCTAACAATAACAATTTGCAATTTTATAAATACTTAATAGGGTATTTGGGGTTAATATACGTGTTGGGTTCATGATACATGTGTGCGTGTGTGTGCTTACGGCTCGTGTGCCTGAAAGCCTTAAATAATGCCATAAAAATAAAATAACTGGTTAAGTGTGTTGCTTAAGTAAGTTGGTAGTGCAATGTTTTGTTAAGCAAACCTTTAATTTACATACAGAGCTATGAAAGGGATTGGGAGGAAGAGCAAGAGGCAGGACAGACATTATTTTAAAACACTGTAGTTTCGGTAACTGCACTTAAATATTTTAACCTTGCTTATAGCTAAAAAGCAAACAAGCATATATGTAACTAAAATATCTAAAGCATTTGTTATGTAATGTATAAAATATACAAAGATTCTTATAAACAAAACGGCCAACATCACCAAACCAAAAAGAGCTTGACATTTTTCTGATTATAATTAAAAATACATACAAATGTAATAATACCATTCAAAAATTGGCTGTTCACTTCATTTATTAATACATTTTTAAAATCAGAAAACAATAAAGTAAGTTATAAAGTTTCAATTTCAATTTACACAAAGAAATATTTAAAATTTATATAATTTGCATGGCAAAGTATTAGTAAAGTTTTCTGTGGATTGATATATCGACTATTTGAACCAACTAAGCAAATTGGAAGTGAATCGAAGAAGACAGGTATATGGTGTAATCTTGTATTAATTAAATAAAGCGTATAATAAAAAGAGAGAGTACCGAAAATATCAATAATAACAAAGAATATTGCAGGCTCATAGGAGGCACAATTTATTTTTTTTTTTAAAGTGTCTAGTTATTTTGTTGCATTTAAAAAAAGATAATTGTGTTTAAAATTAATTTCGTTTAGTACTTGCTCTACCATGTTTAAAATTCTATTAAAATTAGTTTACTAAAACTATTTGTTTTAAATATTAAAAATCATATGAACATGCCTTACTATTTTATTTAGTTCAAACCAACTAGATGCACAGTTGATTGAAAAAGTATTTCGTATTTATGTATTTGCTTAAGTTCAGTTACCGAAACTTTTCAGATTTTTATTTGCTATATTGCTGCTACGGGGTCAGAACATTCCGTTCTTTTAATATAATACATACGTCTCTAAAGAGATGATTTTGGTGGTGCTGATTTGGATGAAGTTGGTGCTGTAGTGAGTTAACAACAACGCTAGAAGAGTTAGCGGCCAAAATAGTTGCCGTTTGATGTTGATGTTGCTGCTGAAGCGGCATTTGTTGCTGCTGTTGTTGCTGCTGATGGTGCTGTTGCTGCTGCTGCTGTTGTTGCTGGTGCTGGTGTTGCTGCTGTTGTTGTTGTGCGAATTGCTGTAGCTGTGCTGCTTGTGCGGCTAGAGGTGCTGATGGTGCATTAGATGGTGCTGTTGTTGCTGTTGTTGGTGGTGGTGGTGCAGTGACGAGCAAATTACTATTATTAACATGGCTAAGATGCGGTGGCAAATCCAATGATTGCAACGTTGCTGGAGCAGTTGCTGTTGCTGCTGTTGCATAAGCGCCATTCAAAATTAGCAAATGATGTGGTGTTGGTGGTTGCTGCTGCTGATGTTGTTGTTGCTGTTGTTGCTGTTGTTGCTGCTGTTGCTGCTGGAGTTGCTTGTGACCATTTAGCATGACCATGTCGTTGAGCATTTTGGTCTTGGCATACTCGATGCGTATGGAGCCACGATCCGAGGAGAGCAAATACTTGCCCTGCAGTTGTTGCATGGCCTGTGCAGCGCTCGAAGCATCCTTGAACTCAATGAAAGCTACAGGATGTTGGCCATTGTTAGTAGTAGAGTTTGCGCCGCTGATTGGGGCCATTGCTGCATGTTGTTGTTGATGGTATTGTTGTTGTTGTTGTAGTGGTGGTGGTGGTGGTGGTTGTGGTGTTGGGGCGACAAATAAATTTGTCATTGTCGCGTTGGTTGTTGTTGTTGTTGTATTTGTTAAGGAGTAGGAAGTTGAAGTTGGTTTTGTAGAAGTCAGAGTAGTAGACAAAGTAGGCATAGAATTTGTGATATTGTGCGTACCTTTTGTGTGCATTCGTAGGCGACAAAAGCCAGGCATACTGTGCATAGTATTGATTATATATATATTTTTGATATATACGTTATATATATATATATATATATATGGTTGTGGTAGTGGTGGCAGTCATTTTTCAGAGAGTATTATGTATAATACAATTGTTGTCACACAAACAAAAAAAAAGAGAACACAAAATATTTTGTTGGTTAGTTGGTGTTTTGCTTAAAATACAAGTACGAAGAATTTTTGTGGTGCGTTTGAAAATCTTGTGGCTGATTGTGATGGCACAAAGTGGCTCACAGTGGTTGGTGGCTATTTGTTGGTGATTGGTGGTGATAGTGGTTGGGTAGTTGCTTGTAATATTTTCTTTTGATTGTGTGGCTTGCTTTGTGCAACTCAAACTCATGTGTTTGCAATGTTTTTGTTTTTTGTTCACTTTTCAAATAATTGTGACAAAATATCATCAATATGCTAACTGGTATTTACCTAGAGAACACCTCCTTGAGCTCGTGCTCGGACACAAATTGACCCAAGTTGGCCACAAAGAGCGTCGAGCAGGGCGCATTGGCGGCTATTTGCGGATTAGCCGGATGTGTGGCATTATTTGTAGAACCGGCCGGACTCGCCAGAGCGGGACTGGATAAAAAATGATGATGTTGTGCAGCAGCGGCCGCAGCATTTGCCGCAGCAGCGGATTGTGGTGCCGCAGCAGCTCCACCGCCACCGCCCGGACCACCCTGGCCCGCAGCCGCAGCGGCAGCAGCCGCCATATGCATGGCGGTAGTTGGATGAATAGCAGTAGCTGTTGTCTGATGATGTGGTGGCATTGTCATTTGAGTCTGGCATAAGGGAACACATTATAAACAAATCAGCATATAGGAACCAGTGTATCGTTGCTCTCGTTCAAATCGGATGTAGCTCACTATAAATTCCTCCAAATTTCTAAGCCATTTAAAGACGGATAAAGTTTTATTCAAAAGTTATTAACTCTCTCCATACTTAGTTAAAGAATTATTCCAAGTTATTTCACTGATCCACGATCTCCTTTCTCCTATTGTAAATTGTGTTTAAACTTTAACAGAGCAGATAATTTAAAGTGTAACAACTTCAAACATCATCTGTATTTGGAGTAAGACTGAACATCTTACCTAAGCTCTCTTTCTTGGCAATTAAAAGTCTGCTCTTACTTTCTATTCTTCTATGCTATTGTAATTCTAAAAATAAATGCTTATTAAAAAAGTAATAAATTAATTAAAATAATTAAGTTCAATTTTCACATTTACAATAAAGTACTAGTATGAGCCTTATTTCTATTCTTGGTTTTTTTACCCTGCAGCCAAAGGATAAATGGGTTTTTTTTCTTTTTGTTTTTCGTATGTTACGCCCCTTTTTGGTTATGCGAGAGCAACGATAGTTAGGTATTAATTTGTTTTGGTTAGCTTGGCTACTCACTTGATGCATAGGCTGCTCCATAACTTTGTCTGTATTTAGTCAGAGATAGGAGCGTACGGGCACCTGCGGATGCAGTGCCGGATGCACTAGAGTTGCATGCTGCAGTGCAGCAGCTCCGGGTAGCTCAGCGGCAGCGGCAGCCGAATAGGCTAACGGATGATGCCATAGCTCGGGTCCGCCCGGAAAGAACGGACCGCCCAGATCTAATTTACGGGAATAAGAACGAGAGAGAAAGAGAAAATGGGAGAGAGATAGAGAAAAATCATGTGAAATTTTTTTGTTGAGCATTTTTGTAAATAAAATATTGTTGCTATTTGTTTGTTGATTGATTGAATGTTGTGTGTGAAATTGTTTTGGCTAAATTATTTTAACAATGGTATATGAAAATACTTTTCAAGTTCGTTGCCTAAGTCTTTTGTTTTGATTTGCAATTTCATTGCCAACTTCCCACTGCACTTGGAAGAAGCTGTTCATTGGTAATACCGTTACAAGATTACAACAATTGAAAACTGAGCTTTCTGGATCGTGTCCCTATATGTGTTCGAGTATATATATATATATGTATATATTTATGTGTGTGTGTGTGTGTGAGAATCAAACAAAGTGTTACAAGTGAGCAAAGTGCAGTACATATTGTTGCTTTGGGGGTACTTGTAGTTTTTGTTGTTGTTGTTGTTGGTACTCTTAAACCTAAAGATATATATATGTATTTATAGCGAAAATTAGTACGAGCGTACATATAGATATATCTATATATAGTTATAAATGTATATAGAGAAGTGCACTTGAAGCGATTTCTTAATTGGTTTTCAACTTTGTTCAATTTTTCAACTGTCGGATAGTGTGAATGTGTGTGTGTGTCTGTGTAAGTGTGTTGAAAGGTTGTGCAGAACGTACTTTATAATTGTACGCTTTCATTGTTCTTGGTTTGTAGTACCCTTAAAAGTAATTGTTTCTTAAATATATATGTAGCTACATTTAACATAAACAGAAAAGAGTAGCAAAAATAGCTGCATTTCTTTTTAAGTTCTTTAGTTTTTTTTTCGTTTTTTTTTCTTTACTTACGTCCAGTGAGTGGGTGCATCAATGCAGGATGTGAGGCTGTTGTCGCTGTATTGGGCTGTGGTTTGGGTTTGCTCACTTTCGTGTTACTCTTGGCGAATTCCAAGCGAATTGTTTGGGGCATATCGGGGTCGAAGCGTACACCCTGCTGTAAATGATCAGATCAAAATACAGCGGTTTGTATTTTCTATTTCATTTCTTTTAAAAATTATTTTTTTTGTATTTTTAATTTATTTTTTTAAACATAAAAGTGTTTGCAATTTGGTTCTTTCACATGAACTGTTCTCGAAAATATTATCATTGCCATTGATTCTGAGACTTCTTGAAAATGTTTCGTTTTTTAACAATTCGCCAAAAATAATTGAATGCCGTGTGTGTACAGATTTACGAGTAGTGTTGAGAAAATAGCTATACAAATTAATTGTGGCTATTCTTTGATAAAAATTGAGATTCTTGGGACATAATACCAACTTAGTTTTGGATGTGCGCATATATTGGATACGCTTGTGCCTTTTGTAATTTGTTTTTGGGGTTATTATTATTATCTGAACATTCAATGCGGCGCTTGCTTTACGTCAAGGATGGTTCTCATTTGGTGTACGTTGTTGTGGTTTTGGTTGAGTGTGTGAAATAGATGCAGAGAAATAAAAACCAGAATGTTGTAAATGGCAGAAAGTGTGAATAATCAACTGAATCGATAATGCTAAGCAGCGAGTTTTCTTCTAAGTAGAACTGGTAGGCATACAAAGGTGCCAAGATTTAGGTTGCTAGGGAGACACTGAAAGAGTTAGGGGAGAACTGTCTATGTGGCTTAGGGATTTCATTTTATTTTTGTTTTTTTTTTTTTCACATGCACCATACAATTCTAGTCTAGGTTTCTTCGAAGCTGAAATTGTTTTTGGTGATGAATTTGGTACGTGTGTGATTGTGTGTGTTTGTGTGTGTGTGTGTGTGAGAGAGAGAGAGAGAGAGACAGAGTAGAGAGCGAGTAGATATAGATGCAATACCAAAATAAAACAATCGATTTATAAATAATGCGGTTTTTCTTTTGTTGGTTTTGTTTTTGGGGTGAACTTCAAATGCAAGCACGTGTAACATTTGATGCGTGTACATCTTATTGTTGTTGTAGTTATAGTTGTATTGGTGTAACTGCTGCCGGGTGTTTTGTTGTTGTAGATGTTTTATATATTTTGGTGATATTTGTAAGGATAGCTCGCAGCTCTGCGCTGCCTACTTTTGTTCGACGTATTCGATTCATAAATTCAAAGTAATTCTAATTCTTTCGCTGTGAAAACCAGGCAAAATTTTGGTGTGTGCTTTACAATTTGCGTGTGTGTGTTTCTTTTTTTGGAACGCCGAAAATATTGCCACATGTGACACGCAAGCTCTGTTGTTAGTTTCTTGCAAAACGTTAATTTTTCATTATCATAATCATTATATTATAAGAGGCTTTCGAAATGAGTAGCATGTGTTACCTGTAAATCCTGTTTAGCGGCCTCGGCACCGGCTCTTGTATGGAATGTTACAAAACCCACGGGCTGTAAATTCAAGTGTTAAATTAATCGATTCTTTTAATAAAGGCTAGTTTTCATTTGCTTACCGAAGCGGTTTTGCCATTTTTACTAGTGACTTTAAGTAGAGATCCTTCGTAGCCCTGTTATATATGAAAATAATATTTAATTAGCCATCTAGCCTAAGGATTTCGTTTATCATTCATTACTCACCTCATAGGCTCTGAATAACAAGTAAAGCTCACGCGGCTTTGCATCCATGGGCAAACCGCTGACGAAAAGTGTGCGCACCTGAAGGAAAAAATAATGACATATGTGAATTAATAGTTGAAAATAATATGTTATCTTAAAAGTTTATATTGCGTTGATGATTTGGAGAATAAATATTTGTATTGGCGCAGTAATAAGTATACTATTTGGTTAGGATATTTATATTTATTCAACCTTAATGAACTAATTAACTACTAATTTACAGTCAACTGTACATCTGAAAGCTCTTATTTAAATATAATTATTTTTAAGTTGAACAGCATTTTGGACAAAAGCCGTATACATTTGTTTGTCATTTGTCATATAAATAAATTAGAAACCATTAGGATATTTAGAAGACGATCAGGAATGCCAAACAAAATGACACCGCCTGACAGTTTACAAATCTTGAAGTGGAAAGTGCCTAAAAACTGTCACGAGAAAAAGCGAAAGTCTTTCAAAAGTAATTTTAGTTGTATGTCGTCTGAGTGTGAGGGAGAGAAACCAATTTCCTATGATTACGTAATTAAGTTAAATCTGTCACGTGGCGCTTCCTAGCCGCATCCCTAGACGCTTTTCTTTGCTTTACTCTGTGCCAACCGCTCATTTCAACGTCAAATATTTAAATGTGCTTTAACCCCAAAGTTCATGTGGCTGACACACACACACACACACACACACATATAGACACACACGAGCAAACACACGCACAAGCACACACTGGAAGACCAACAGACACGCTTTTTGCTTAGATGTGTGCGCAAATGAAACCAAATGGAATAAGCCTCATAAACGCTGAATTCATTAAATGGAAACGGCAACCACGTGCCCGGCTACATGGCAGTGGGATGCACAGTGGTGTAATTGGACACAAAGTGCGCAAAACGTATTCCCTAGAAAATATGCGCACTAGTCTATTTGCCACTCCATAAACAAAGATAAAATCTTTCGCATTGCGGTTCGGAAAACTAAAAGTCTTCTTTTCATTAATATTCTCCCGGCCATGAGGAAATAATATGGGCTTCAATAATATCAGTTTTTGGGGTCAATGAAATGCTTTGTTTAGTTTTCGTTGTTGCCCACTGTGCCTCACTAACGTCGGTAACATTAGTATCAGCGTCTGGTGGCAAGTTAATGAGCTTGCCGCCATGCCAGCAAACTGGGAGCATGGCGATGTGGCGTTCTTTTTATTTTTTATTTTTAACACCTAGGCGAGAACGTTGTAAATATAAAAGACGAGTCAGCTGGGAGATTTTGAGTGTGTATGTGTCTGTGTGTGTGTGTGTGTGTGTGTAGCAGCATGTAAGCTGCCTTTGGTGTTAGTTGGTGGTTTGCTGTTATTTTGGCACTTTTTTTTTAGCTTCGAAGCCAATGTTGTACCTTTATGTGGGTGATGTGTGTGTGTGTGTGTGGAAAATTAAAACGTGTTCTATCGTCAAATCTCCTTTTTGTAATCTAGCCGCGTGTGTGTATGGGTGTGTTATAAAAATAGCGCGACATGTCATTCACTGGAAGAATATAATACATACAAAATAAATCCAACTGACGCTTTGATGTGAGCTTGCAGAAAATTGCAAAAGCTAATGCCGCTTTAAACTGCAGCCGGCTGACAAGTTCAATGTTCACACAACTTTTGAATTTGTTGCTCGAAATATAAATAGGCCAAAACCTATGCTTGAAATTTACATTTATGAATGGAAGTGCGCAATTAAGTCGTTCGATTGAGGCTCTTGGAGAAGGGATTTCGATTACTCAATTGTTATATTACAAATGAATAATTATTATGCAAATGAAATATTTGTTTGTCCAAGACATGCAATAAAATATGTTTAAATGTAGGCTAAGAAGTAATTTAAGAACAGGTTGCTGCTTTCTAATTAAAGACATTTCTCTAACAAATCATTGTTGTTTTAGGTTCAACATTTGTACTGTATTTATTTTAATGAAACAGTTAACACTCACTGAGCACTTCATTACATAAGCTTCTATCGCTTAATGTCCACTAATATTAATTAGCCTGCTCTCAAATGTTGCACAAGCAATGGTCGCCAGCTAAGTAAGACAGACATTTTGTGGGCGTTTCCACCACTCGAAAATCGCAGCCAGCGACCAACGAGCGGCAAGTGACGACGGCATGGTCACTTAAATTTGCAATTAAAATCCATTTTTATGCAGTTATGTGGCGTCTAACCACTTTGGCAAAGACGCCGCATCTAATTAGACAGGCAATATGCCTCGAAATAAGCGGAAGAGAGCGAACCGCTTGTTAAACCAGACTCGAAACCCGAGCAGAAATACGAAATGGGTTAATTAGTTAAGCCCAAACGGTCTGATGACTTGTGGCTTGGCATTAGGCCCAAGCAGCAAAGCAGCTCTACCTTTATGAGTATTTTTCGTCTATCCTTTTACGTGTGCCCAAATAGCATTGAAAAGCAATTAGTTTATGTCTGGGCTGCCAGAGTGTAAACGAACTTTGTGACTGGACCACAAACATCAGCAACAGAAGCAGCAGAAGCAGCATCTGTATACAAACAACAACAAAATATGTCCCTCAACTTGATCGTGACTGTTATGCAGTCAACGCAAGTCAACATACCAAGTCCAAGTGCACAATGCCAATGAAAACCCCCACACACACCCTCACACCCAGGCTCCTTGTCGATTAAGGAGCAGAGCGTGTGGCAGACAAAGGGGCAGGGCGCAACCACAAAAGTCAGTTAGCCAAACCAAATCAGCCATGGCGACGCTCGCCCTGTGCCTTGGTGCTGCTCCAACTGGCTTGTTTGTTCGTTTGCTTGTTTATTTGTCTTGTGTTTTGGCATTGCGGATACAGATACAGCATTGGGCAGCAACATAACTGCCAAGAGTGTGCGATTGTAAGTGCTTATATGCGTAATAAACAGTAAAACGGCTACGTTTTTGAAAATAAACACAACTATTGAGCAGGACATAAGCCAATACGAGGATTCCAATTCGATATTAATAGATATTAAAACAGACTTGTTTTCAGCATTTCAATCATAAGTAAAACACTTTGGTTCCGCCTATAATTTTTTTTGTCCCCATTTTCCAGAAAAATAGACCTGTAAGTCACAAACTAAATTTCTTTTCATAAACGCATCATTCAAATGATTGCAGTAAACATATTTAATTTGACATTATTCCAACATTGTGGTGCTCTAAAAAGGGGGTAGTCCCAAGAAGTTCTACTGTATTTAGTTGCTACTTGGACTACTTAGCATTCGTTTGTATGTTCAGAGTCGTATGTGGGTTGCGGGTTTTTGTTTATCTGGTCGAAAATTCCATTTAAATACAGCAAAGGTCAGACAAGTAGTGGCAGTCAGTGTTGGGGGAATAACATTAGTTTTGTTGGTCAGCCTTGCAACTTGGATGACTGGTTAGTGTCTGGCTTGTGGCACTACGCCCACATATGTACTATATACTCGTAGTATGTGCCAGCGAGTGTGCGTCTGTGGGACTAACTGTGTGTTTGCATTTGCGGTTGAGCGCTGCTGTTTCTGCCACTGCCACTGCCTTTGCTCCTGTTGCTATTGATGTTAGAGTTACCTAGAAGTTGAGTTGCAGTTGCTGGTGGGCCGCATGGAAGCTGGCTCGTCGCCATTTTCTCAATTTTGTGTTTTGCCGCAATATGCGTGTGGTTTGTAGTTGCCATTTACATGACAGTTTATTTAGTCGTAAAACTTTGTTTATACATACTTGTAATTATATTCTAGCTCTAGCCATCTCATATACTACTGAGAAAGAGAACGAGAGAGTGTTCAGTGCTTTAGCTTTGATTAATTGTGTTCGGCTTCGTATCTGGCGTGCCCAAAAGCTCATTTTCGTTTTAATGTGCAAATATTGCGTATACGCAATGTATAGCGTGCATATAACTAGCAGCTTCACATTTGTTTAGTGCTTTATTAGTTTGCCTAAATGCAGTATACATTTTCTGTTATTTGCTGCCATTTCGAATTAAATGCTGAAACCGAAACACATAGCTATATAAATCACTCCGTCAAGTGCTGACTTAAAATAATTAAGTCTGACATTCAAACAGACTTGCGCATAATATGCAAATAAATAAATAATGAAAGACCGATCATAATCAGCCGACCAACTCAACGATCACACACCCAAGTGGCTGCCACAGCGGCCTTAAGTGCCGTAAAATTGCAAGCGCTTGTAAATTGTCAAACAGCTGACACACAAGCACAAACAGAGAAATACAGACATAAACATAAATATAAATAATACTGTGAACAACAAGTCAAGTAAATCTGTAAGTCATTGCTTGAGAATAAAAAAAAAACTGCTGGACAGCAACCACCAACCGACTCATGCTTTGCTCAACCGCTTAGCTTCGATTTAGTTAGCCAACTACATATTTGCCATTTGTGCTGCACTTGATGTGTGTCTGGTTGTTGCAGTGCTTGGGAGACGCCTACACGCCTCGAATCGGCGACAACTCATTTGTTGTTGTTTCATTTGCTGATTTGCTGTTGACTTTTAATCGCTTTGCGGCATTTATACAAAGAGTCACGCGTAATTAGTTCTATAAATACATTCTGCTATCGGCATTCATCATTTAACTTTAATTGGAAAAATAGATAAATAACAAAACTACAATGAAATTAACTTAGAATTATGAAAGCTTCCCCGTTTTGGGGATATCAAATAAATAAAGATTATCAAACTATACATTTACAAACGAAGAAGAATTTAGTTGAAGGGAACGAACGATAAAATGAAATTCAATTTTGATATAGATAGTTTTAAACACTCTACAATTTTTAAAATGAATGCTTAACATATATCTTGATTTCTGACTATTCTCGACTAATATTTATCGCATTGGTTAATGCAACCTCTATAACTAACTGCTCTAAAGCGTATCAAATTATCGATGCGACCTAGCGATGTTAATTGCTCATGGTGTGCTATAATCGCCATTCATTTAATGCGCTGACAAACAGCGTGAAAAACATTGCTAACTTTTGAAATGCAATGCAACTGGTTAGACAGGGTTGCTGCTGTTGTTA